GATGGTGTTTGCTTGGTGCTGCGCTGTCAATATTCAAATAGCATCTCTACTGAAGCACCAGTTCTTTAAGACTCTGCAGGCTCAAGAACAAGGTACTTATTTATGAGGGACTTACTTCCCTCACTGTCTTGACACTGGCCAAGATACCCAGTAGCTCTCTGTAAAACTGCAGCATGCTTAAGAGCATAGAAAATGAGGGAAGAGAGAAGGAAAAAGACAAGGAAAATGACAAGCAGAACAAGGATTACTGCCATGTGGCTTGAGTAGCGAGGCCTTTTGGTGTAATTACTGTAATCCAAGAACCTAATTTAATACAAAATGGAATTCAGGCCACATCTTTCAGTAGCAAAGTTGCCACATTTCAGTCCGATGCAGATGCTCTTTATAGCTTGGACATCCTGCCCTACTATCAAACGGAATATGCTTCATTGCAAAGAAGGGTGAATCAGTAAAATCTATTTACAAATGTAGCTTTCTTTAAAGCGCTCATCCTCCAAAATGGCAAGATCTGATTTTTATCAACCAGGTCTGATACCCAACAACTAGCCCCAAATACCTGTCAGACCCAGGAACTTCCTTCCCAATCCCTAGTTCAAGTACAGCCTCCTCCCCATCTGCCTCAACGCCAGACAATGTGGATCAGACCTAGATACACCGTTCTCAGACAGCAGAACTACTTTGCTGAGCTCCCTCTGGTACCCAAGGACACCTCGAACCGGTCCAGAACCTGAACTGTCCAACAAGGAGACTGTGCCCACAAAGCTTGTTTTGCTCTCACAGTTAACTGGGAAGTTGTCATTTATAACCAGTTGACACAGCTTGGCCTGCAAAGGAATCTGAATCTAAAAGAAGGTGACAGAAGTCAGGAAGCTGCTTCAAGAGAAAGTAACTACTGGTTCTGGTGGTTTGCATCTGATTTGTGGCATCTGGAAGCTTGAAAACGTATAAATCAGTGCCAATGCTTTGCAAAACAACCCCAAAATAAAAGCAAAACACCCCCAAACAACACCCCACCCCCATGCAACTCCAGAATACCCCCAAAAGGAAGTTCCATCTCTTTCCCCCCAATTCTAATCTGTTTTAAGCTTCTAAATAAGTCTAATTGCTACAGAGTGCTCTAAGATGCTAATGATGGTGATTAAGACGCCAGATGCTTGTGTTACAGCCACTCTGCACACCCTGGTACTGCCAGGCTCTGCCAAACAGCTCAAACCCAGGTGCCAAGCACAGAGCAGTAGAGGGAGCCAGATGTGCCAGCTGTGCCATGTGCTCTTGTGGGCCAGGGCAACAGGCATGGCTGGTGCTCCACAAGCATCCAGGACAAGAACTTCCCAAATACCTGCAGAACTTGTACCAGCATTTTAAAACAAAGCTTTCAAAAGGCTGAGAGAGCTGGGCTGGGTCAGCCTGGAGGAGAGAAGGCTCCTGAAGGGGAGACCTGAGAGCAGCTCCAGTGCCTAAAGGAGCTGCAGGAAAGCTGGAGAGGGGCTTGGGACAAGGGCCTGTAGGGACAGGCCAAGGGGAATGGCTTTAACCTGCCAGAGGGGAGACTGAGATGAGCTCTTAGGCAGAAGCTCTTCCCTGTGAGGGTGCTGAGGCGCTGGCACAGGGTGCCCAGAGAAGCTGTGGCTGCCCCATCCCTGGCAGTGCTCAAGGCCAGGTTGAACACAGGGGCTTGGAGCACGCTGCTCCAGTGGAAGGGGTCCCTGCCCATGGCAGGGGGTTGGAGCTGGAGGAGCTGTAAGGTCCCTTTCAACGCAAACCTGTTATTAGAGATTTGTGAAAGCGTTATGTGAAAAAAATGAGTATTTTACATATTCCCAAACACATTCCAAGGAACCCTGGCTGTCATTCCTGGCCCTTTTTATCTGCCTGTCCCAACAGCTTCTCCAGACAGATTTCCTGACTCATCTTGCAAATGAAGCACTGAAGTTTTTTCCCCCAAAAGCAAGGATGAGGATGAATGAAAATTCAAAGTGGCAAAGCTGTCTTAGGCACTCGAGGTGGCTTCGTCTTCCTGCATGCCCAGGCAGGGAGCGATGGCCCCTGAAGTGCTGCGCTACCTCGTTTGAACCACGAGAGTAACTGTTAATTAAGACTCATCCAAAAGGAAAACCAGTAATAATAAGAAATGCTAACATATATTTAAATCATTTTTGATGCTTTCAACCTTGTCTGTAGTTAATGAACAAGAAAATCTGGTCTAAAGGCAAGTTAAAACAGGGACTAATTTGTCTGGGTGACATCTTACTTGGAATAGAATTTCCTTACACTGGATACATTATGTTTGTCACTATAATGACATGTTCCCATGTAAGAGTGTGTTATGAGAAGTCAGAACAATGCTATTACTAAAGAGAGATTTATACAGTATTAGCATATGATTGTTTTGTCTACTCCATGCAGCAGTATGCAAGGTGGACTGATGGTAGTTTCTTACCACATGAGGATAAACGGAGTTGCTGGCTCTGATCTCCCCATCAAAACCAACCCCAACCTCTGAGACCCACTCTCACACACACCGAGTTTGCACCCTGACATTCCCAGGGTCTGCTGTTTTATAGAACCGATGCTCACGCTTACTGCTGAGCCAGAACAATGGGAAAGGCAGAACACTGAGAAGGAATTATTATCCTGGAGCTTTTATAAAGCTGAGACCAAAGCAGTAATTTAACTCCTTCTTGACCTGGATACTCTGAGAAAAGACCTGCAGAAACTCTGAACAGCAGGCATAGGTCAAGAGCAGCGCAGGATAAAAGAGGTCATGAGGTTCTGGCTTTCTATTAGTATGGGGTATAAAAAGGATCTTAAACCAGATCTGATGCTAAATCAGAGCTCTGGAGCACAGAGGCAAGGAAATGGGAGGAGGGGAAGGGCAGAAACTACACTAAGATTTACCCTGCTCTTACTCCACAGTACTTGCAGCAGTGGCAGCTCAGTTTATGGCCAGTATTCACCATATCACCATTGTATTATCAAGCTTTTCTTCTGATAGCTCTAATCGGCAGGGCTTGGCAGCTCCGATCCTTGTAACAGGTCCTCATCACAGGGAGGCATCTTCAAATCAATTCAGAAGAAACTTGCCCCCAAATAAAATATACTGGAACCACAATTGGCCATTTCTTACAAATACTTGCCCAATCTTTTCTTCCTTCTACAGAAGAAAACAAGCCACTGTGTCAGATACTTGCGCTGTGCAAAATCAGGCAGTTAAACAGGCTGACTTGGAACAGGAATGAATCCTGAGGTTTTCCCCTCAATTTCCAAGTTTCACTTAGCTTGGAATAGACAAAAACAACCCCACAAGTGGCTGATTACATCCTGGCTCTCCTGCATGTTTTTCTCACTGAGGATCTGCACAGGTATCTTGTAAATACAGTGTTTTGAGGGGCTTTTTGCTGGTATTCTGAGCATTACAAAGTGATGCCTGTTCACGCTCAAAGCCCAAAAGCACTAAAAGAGCAAAGTGCATTACTACTATTAATTAGGGAACTCTCACATCAAGCATGCTGATGCTCAGAATGCAATCGGGTTGTCCACAGTGACCCAAAACAAGGTTTGGGATACCTCAAATTAGCATTTCCATTTCCCTTTTCACTTGTAAGGAGGAGTTCTGCCTCGAAGCGATGTGGTTCTGCAGATCACAAGATGGGAGGAAGTGGGTAGCTATAGGAATATTGAAGGGTTCCCATCACCTACCACCTCACTGATAAAAATGGCTTTATGGATTATGGGTCAATAATAAAACTGGTAAAATAAAGATGTACTCAATATGCATGGTTTTGTCTTACATGGCTAATAGTTTAAGGACTATTTCATCAAATAACCTTTGTGAATATCTGAAGCACAAACCCCAGCTAGTTCTAGGCAGTCAGCCCAATTCAGGTACCTGTTTCTATGGTCCTGTAACAGAAAAGACCTTCACTACCTTAAAGTATCATGGTGAAAGACTTTCAGGAACTAACATACATTCCTCCATACTCTCTGTGTGACAGCCAGCACTCATCAGGTGGGAGATGAACTCCTAAGGGTTAGAGTGACAAATGTGGCATCAAATCCGAACAGCCCAAAAGCCACCTGGCCCATTAGTGAATAATCATTTCACTGAGCTGATATATAAGTTGCATTGTGCCCTCCAATGATCTTCATTTCTATCTGGTATAATTAACAATCAATCATGCTGAGGGCTACAGCATCTGTTAACTACATAAATAAAACACTGGCAAAGGAGCTTGTCAGGAGCGATTGAGATGAAGTCTTGCTCTGAAGTTTATTGGATTTCCATAATAAGAAATCATACCATAACACATTCCTTACATTGCTCTTCTGGGTTGTGTATGATAATTTCTAACCAAAACCACAACTAAGTGCAGGGTGAGAGCCTCACAGTTCAGCAGATGAATCTCATGGTTTAGGGTCGATGGTGAGCTACAAGGTAAGAAGGGTCCCAACTCTGTCAGGAGAACAGGTTAAACTGGTTTAAGTTACTCAAAAAGTAGGCTCTTGGAAATAAAATTCCTTCAAATATCCCACCTGACAGAACTATTATTCGTAAGAAAACCCTATTCCAGTGAGCAATGTGCTCACAAAGTGAGCAATGAAAGCATCCCCGCTGCCTTCTAAAACTGCTCTGAACGGTGTTAGTACTCAGAAGAGAGTTTTGCAGCATGAATAAATCAACCACCACAGAAGCCTGTGGAGCTTTCAAGAGTCATTAAGGTCAAACCCTGCAGACTGTTGTTTCTTGGAAGTCCAACAGCCCATATTTAGACTGAGTAATGAATGGGAACTAGGCTGAAATCCAGCCTGAAGAAGAACAGAGGACTTGCACCACAGTGCCTACAGAAGAGAAACTTGAGCAATGTTGAAGTTCATGAGATGATTACACCCCAACCACAGGGTAAGTCTTACTGCTATACATTACAACGTCACACTGAGGGGAAAGGGAAGTCAGGACAGCAGCAGAGTTAGTACACATCCCCAAACAAGATTTAAGAGGATAAGAGTTTGTAGAGTGCTTTCATTTCAGAAGTGTGAAACGCTCCCCCGTTCAGGAGATAAATCAGCAGTGATCTGAAATACATGTGCACTAGAAATACAAAGAGAAAAGAATCATAAGAACAGAAACAAAATCATTTGGGACTAATCTAAGTCTCAGAAGAAAGAAGTCCACAAGTGCAACTGCAGGCTCCTTGGAATCCCAGGTGATTAAAGGATGTATTAGATAGTGAAGCAGTGAAGTTAAATGGATTTTCTGCACTAGTCTTTTATTATGGATGATAAAGGGAAAGAAATTCCAGTTCCAAAAGCTCTCTGATGATTACTGGCCTTAACAGAGATTTGAGGCTCTAAGAAAGATGTCAGAGGACAACTTCGAATGTTCTAGAGTGGTGAGCCATCAGAATCACACAGCATCCATCCCCAGAGAAAGGAAGGACTAAAGTGTCACACAGGTAAGAAACAGGATGTGCAATACAGAGTTAACTGCAATTCTTGCCAAGCACTAAGTCTTTAACACACCAGCTGTCTTTAGGGAAGGAGCCAAAGGACTAAGATTGACACATTCACCTCAGGGAGCAATGAAGACACACTTCAGCTTAGCCACTACCACCACGGTTCTCCCGCAGCTGCAGACAGGGTTTTGGGGGAGCAAACAACTGCAGATTTCCTGGTGTCACCAAAAAATATGGAATGACAGGCACGCTCTTTCAGCTTAACCTTAGAAAACCATTTCATGTATGATGGTTACTGATGACAGTGGCCCTCACCCTCCCCCATACAGTCAGTTGTTGTGGCTGCACTGAAATTGTGTAGGCATCTCAACATACCCTTACAACTACATAACCACTCCGTAACGCTTTATTTACACACTGTGTTTATGCAAGAGAACATTTGGGTACATGCATCCAAATATAAACAACAAGTAAGACTGGATCATGAGCGGGACAAACTGCAGACAGTCATTGCCACATATATGGCACTACACAGCTCATGGCATTATGAGTCTTCCTCCTGGGAAATAACTATTGTTTTCCTACAGCTAGAAGGTAGCTGGACTGAATGAAAGGACAATGAGTAAGTACTCCAGCTGGTGTACTTGACCTGAGCAGCTTCCCATACAGAACATTCACTACCTGGCATCGTAAAGGTACCACCCAAAAGTTTATTCCTGACGTTCTATAGGTGACTTATGAAAACAATCTGGCATTGAAAGGAAGTTACAATATCCTAATCGCATATTGTGATCCCCAAATCTATTTCATCTGCTAAATATTTTATGCACTACACGCTTCAAGTAGCCCAAAAATGAATGGAAAGCCTGTTCTTCCATGCAGTCATCTATATACTTACTGTGTTGAGTGCGTTAAGTGTAGTGTCATCACGGGAGGCTGCAACACAACCATCTTCTGTGGATCCTCCATCACACATGCCTGCAAAAGCTGCCATGCTCCTTTATGGTTCGAGGGGAAAAAAGTTTAAAGTCTTCAGCCACTGTTTGATGCACACATCATGCAATACACAAATAGTAGATTTACACCTTAAATCACCTATTTCAGGGCCTTGTGATAATGTGGAAACAAGTAAAAGAAGGCACCACAAACAGTTCTTATGCAAAGCTGAGTCAGCCCAGCACATGGAAAAACTAATTTGAAAGTAAAATCCAATCTCAGTGCATTTCATCCAATAAAAACTGGCACTGCAGCAGTACCAAGGCCTGATCAGGATTATGGAAGACAGAACCTCCACACCTGAGGACAGTCTCACCAGAGACAGCCACCTTTTTGTTGTAAGATTAGTTTCATGCTGTTAGAAAACTGCAGATTCCCCCCATCTCTGTACTCTTGCAAACTACAAGCACTTTACTCATCCTCTGCGTTATGATGAGGCCCACCAGTGCCATTAATCTACCAGGCAAACAGAACAGAAAGGAGTGACTGTAGCCACTGCACATACACAGTGGTCCACGTTTCCATTACAGCATTCTAAGGACACAGTGGTATCTTGGCTGGAATTACCTTGCTGCCCTAAGGTACATAAGTAAGTCGCAGTCATTGACTCCTGGCATCCACACAAGCTCTTCATGCTGTGTCACTGTGTCACCATCTGGGGAAGGAAATGGCTGCAGATCAGGAAGCTTAGCCTGGAAGAAGAATGAGGGTTCATACAGACATTAGTTGTGAAAAGTGTTAGGAGGATGCAGTGTTATCAATAGCAAAGTATGTAAAGTCTCTGGAATACTGGGGTCTCATAGAAGGAAGATATTCGGATAACAGGGAGCAGAGCCATTTGATCCAAGTTTCCGAAGTTTGATGGGTCATCTCTTCACTTCATCCAGCATTCCTTCGTTTAGAAGGGCAGTTCATTTTCTGACAGTCATGGAGGGTTAACACCTCTCAGCACACCACTACCAGTGAAACCCTTCTGCATACAGACCAAGTGCAAGCGTGCCTGCAGAAATGCTACGGTTGGAAAGTAAACCATTTTGCACTGCACAGGTAGTCCTCTACTGCATAGAAATCCAACAATTCACCCTCAAAGAGACAGTTTTCATTTGCCAAAAAGATGCTGCTACAACTCCTGCTTCCCAAGCTAAAACGTACACCTGTAACATCCTAATATGAAAGGAGGCAAGAACGTGGCTACCATCTGTGTACCCTTTTAAATCAGTTTAAAACCCTACGCATTTGACACCAAGTTTAAAATTAACTCCTCAGCAAATCATTAAAACTCTAAAGAGAAACAAAGATACCTCCTGCAAATGAGATAGCTCAGTGGAATGAACTCTGCCACTAAGTATTCCACTGTATCCAGAGACCCAATTAGCATCTTTAGTCATCTCCTGCTAGGGGATGAGATAGCTGAGAGCCTCTTCAGAAACAGCTTTTAAGCCCTGTAATTACCTCCTATACTTACAACGCTAAACATATTTGAGAGGCAACATTTACACATAACCAGTAATTACAAGTCACAGGTTCAGATGTCTTTCATGTTCTGCTCTTTAATCTGTACTTTATTTTATTCCTTGCCTGGGAAAATGGGGATGTCATTGAACTTCTCTTCTGGAGAAGGATAAGCAAGCATTATAGCAGGATGAGACTTCTATGAGCTATGCATCCTAGTGACAGGGCTGCTTTCCCAGATGAATGCTCACCCTTGTGTACCCAAGGAACCTGCTGGATTACTACAGTTACTCCCAAGAACAACTTCCTCTCAACACCTCTGGTCATTCATTTGTTAGCCAAGTCTTCATAGGAGAACATTTAGTAGAGACCAAATCTCCTCCTCCGGTGCATGTGAATTTTAACGACTGCAATTCTATATCTTTCCCTTCACTTGTGTCCCTATTTGCTGTTATGATACAAGCAGCAGTTTGAGGTATCTCTGTACTAAGCATTAAAGCAACCTCAACAGACCTCAAGCATTTGTAACACACACAACTTAAGGGAAATGAAGGCAACAGGTACTCATCAGAAACCACTACTGGGATGTCAGGGTTGTTTCTGGTACAGATACCTTATTACCACTAAGGTGGGTGGAGGAAAACAGATCCAGTCCCTGAATCAGACTACACAATGGAAAGCAGCAACATCATCTTTAGTCTGGCTTCCTATCGCAGCCTACAGTCACCATGCATGTATCTTAAGATTACACCCTACACTAATGAATATATCCTTTTAGCAATGGCGTTTGCCTGAAACAGAGATGCTCAGCAAACGAGTGGAAGAACAATGCAAGCTAAAAATATTAAGGAAGCAAAAGTTAACAGTATTCTACATCCGTGGACCTTCTTCCCACTTTTTTTTTCCACCCATAAATGCACCTGGTAATTACACCCTACAGCACAGATGACTAATCCCTGCCAAAATATTAGATGGCAATTTGAGATGAAAGTTGTTCTGAAGGTATCATTTACAGTACTCTTATTATGACCAGTGAAAAGAATACTACCGGTTTAATTGCCAAGGACTTTCTTTTCCTCTAAATGCAAAACATCCTTAAGAATGTTACGCAGGTTTCATAAATGTCTGCTTACAGTAGTTATTAAACGAGATTTTACGAGTCTGAATGAACACTGAATGAACTGGGATGCAAAAGCCAGCACTTGGTCAGGACAGAGGCCATTCCATAGGTAAAAGAGAACACTCGGCTCCTCGTGGTGGATCTGGCCTTATAAACCAGAGTTGCACGTTATGCTCTTTAAGAACTGATTATTTTCAGTACCATGAAGGATTTCCCTCAAATTAGAACTAACATAGCAAGAGCAACCCAACTTCTCGAGTCTTAACCTTATTCTGCTTCCCTGTACTTGAACACACTCACGTGCTTTCTCCATTTCTACTTTAACAATCGATATGACTTAAGGCACTGGTCTTTATGAAGTTACTGTTCTTACTGCTTCTCACAGTCAAATGAGCAATACAACCGAGGTCTCCTCATCTTTAAAATCAAACCTTTCTATAGCATTGAAAAGGCCTGCATGAAAAGCTTCCTGGCAAATACAAATAAGATACTACAGCTATAACATGACTTCTGTAGACTATAGACAAAAGAGCCAATTCAATAACCATCCAGTATTACCGTACCTCCTAGTAAAGAGAATTTAAACTGCTTTGTGTGAAAGTCATGCAGGTAAGAAGGCGAGGACCCACTAACCTGTCTCAAATGGCAGGGAGAGAGCAAATTGGTGATGGTGGCATACGGCCACACAGGAGATGCTCTTTAGGAAGAGCTCCCTCTCTAACAGCTGGCCCAAACTGCTCCCATTTCAATACTAATTTCCCTTCTCAGACAACTGTTGAATCCCTACATACACAACGGCCCCCCGATGTTTCTGCTGCAGTACCACAGTTGGCCAAATCATTTATTATAACACTAAGGGAACACGTGCAGACTGCAAGTGTAAACACAAGTCAGCGAGGAAATGCAAAGCTACAGACATGACACCAGGCAGAGCATGCTCCGAGCCAAAAGGGAGAGCAAGGTTACACTGAATCCTGCATTAATGACACCTATATCAACAGACATGCTTAAAAGCACTATGCCCTGTGTTAGAAGATGGCTACAGATATAAATACATACTTATAACTCAACAGGAAACAAACCTCTCTCAGTTTAAAGTTCCTCCATCCTTCTAATTTTGTTACGTTGGGAAAATCCTGACTTTCACATCACTTCTAATAGAAGTTCAGTTTCTTTAAACACACGGATTGATGAAAAGGACTGCAACATACCAGAAACATGACAGTTTGACTATGCAAATGGAATTCTACTTTCAGCATAACTGGGAAATACCACTGAATTAATTCCATAGGTTATTAAAAGCATTGCTTGGTAAAAGCCAGCTGAGAGATTATTTTGGTTTTAACTCTAGAATGTGCCAAATAATAGCTGAGATTTTTGCCTCCTTTCCACCAGGTACTTGTATTCCTTCAATTTTACTCCAGAATTAACTCAGCAACACCGCTGCTAGTAAAAATCATTAACGTATCAATGCTTGGCATAGGAAAATCTCATTAAGTGAGCTAAGGAATTGCAAGAACTCATGCTAAATTGAAACAACTCGTCGTATTTGAATGCATACAGTTTAAGTGTCATCTGAACTGATCAAGTGGCAAAAACATGCTCTCTGCATACCCGAACACAAACAAAATCCCTTACCTGATGGCTGGG